TGCGTGTACAGATAAGAAGGTTGGTTCTTTAACATATGTTAGAAATTAAATGAGACATATGTTTTCAAAAGTCTTTTTTTTGGCTCTTTTGTTATTGAACTCAGTACGGTTTGTACCATTTTTATGGAATTATCTGTTTTTGTTGCTAGAAAAGTACGGTCATTTGTTATTTGCAAGTATTATTCAAGATTATAGATTGCCCTTTTATTCACTTTGGGAGTCACATAGTTATTTAGCGGCTTGCAAATCATGATCTTAATTTGTTTTCCCCTTTTTATATTGGTTTTGCTTGTTTATTTATTTCCTAGGACTGTTTAAGGATGGGATTTTCAAAGAGGGTCACCTGAATGAACTGAAAAATCCTCCTGCAACGGTAATTCTTCTACCACAAAGTACCCTGAGCTAGAGCGATCATTTTTTTTTGTCTATTTCTCTTTCGGTTTTATATTATTTTTTAGGAAGCTGCAATCGGTCTGAAAAATACTCCTCTTTGTGAATTTTCAAATAAAGCTCTCCTACAAGAAGTTGTCAGCGGCGAAGACAGTTCTTTGCATGCGTCTAAAGTTGTTGCGGTAATTTTAAACTGGTTTTCATTGAAATAGCAAATATCGGTGTTCTCCTTCTCGAGCCAATGAGTTTAATCCATATCTGTCGTTTTGATTAAGTGTTGAGCTTATGTGCTTTTATTCGTTTATTACTGTGAGGATTGGCGATCTGTTTTGATTCCAGCTTTAGCCATTTGTAGAAACTTAAAATTAAATTTATTGTGAAAAATTTCATCTCTGAATACTCTTTTATTGGGTAGTTTCTGGTAAGTACCAAATTTTGCTGATTAGAGCCTTCTACGGTTTTTTTTATTGTTGATCTGGTAATTTATAGTAATACTTTGATTCATTTTTTTAATCTTAATTTGTGATCACGGAAAAGATATGAACGTTTGATGTATTTGTAACGTTTCACCATTTTTGTTCTCAAGCTCAGCATCTTTCCTCTCCTCCTCTCCAGTCGTATCCTGAAATATCTGATAGACTTTAGTTTTAAGGCTAGTCTTTTAACAGCCTGGAGCTGAAACAGCCTCTACAAATAACTTTTTTGCAGTAAACCGCTCGATTTGACGAGCAAAAAAAGTACTTCTAGATTTTTTGACGACGAAGAAAGTGATTTGTTTTGGTCATTAGGGTCTAAAGAACTAAATTTGTCGGTTTTTCAATATTTTTTAAGCAACCAGTTTGAACTATTTTCGAACTGTAATCCCGGTTGGCTGAATGGCGTATTGTATTACTTGTTTCTCATCTTACCATTTGGATATGGCTGTATTTTTTGCTCCTTGAGTTTAATTATCTTCTCGAAATACAACAAGTTTGTTATTGAGGCATTATGATCTACTATAATTATTTTTCTCAGCTAAGGAGTACTCGCAATTATTTTGTTGCTCCTTTCTCTAGTTTTCTCAAGTTTTCCGAAGTTTGGACGGTCTTTTCTATAATAACGTACTCAGG